AACTCTCAAAGGAGATTAATAAACCATCCGATGGAGTTCTGCTACAGTCTTTTGGTGTCAGAATTTTATTCTTTGTGTCCTGTTTTTCTTGTCTCCTCTTAATGATGGCAGTGACAATATGAGACAATATGCTTGTCAGATTACTTCTTTTCCCTTTCTTTGGCTCTTTTGGCAAATATCTGGTTTCACATTATCATTAAAAGGCAGTATGGTACAGACATAGCTTCAAACTTTGACTCTGTCATTTACTAGTTCTGTAGCCATGGAAAGGTCATTATGTCTCTCTGTGCCGCCATTTGCTCAACTTTAAATCAAGCAAGTTAGACTGATCATCTCAAAGCCTCTTTTATCTTAAAACTTTGTAATCTTAGGAAACAAGTATCCAATATGAAGTGCCTATCCTCTTGTAATATGCGGGGTTTTATCCATTTGTGATTATTGGCGCTATTTTCTTGTTACTGACATGTGGACAGAGCAAAGCAAATACTTGACTGCTTCTTATCTCCTGTTGGATAGCACATATTTATAATCGATATATTCTGCTGTGTAGCTGTTTTCTTCTCTTTCTATGCTTTTGCTTGTTTGAGGACATGGCTGTGCCGTCTTACAGTTTTAGAGCTTGTCTCCACTCCCATTTGTCCATCTGTAGTAACTCAAGGCCCAGTGCTCTGTTGATTTTTCCTTGCACAGGTTCCATTACCAATTCATATTTTCTCACTCACAGAGGCTTGCTCAAAGAATGCTGCTGAGGAAATGGTATGATGGTCTTAGTAATTTGAAAACTTCCTGCAGTATGTGTTTGCCATTATTGACAATGGTGTTCCAGAAGAATATATGGCTCTGGCGAGAATTTGGTAAATTTTTTCCTTCTCATCAGGTGTCACCTGTGTACTAATGAAGCCATTGAGAGTGCTTCGTATGCAGTGGCGAGCACCTTTGTTGGCTTAGGGGTCCTGAACAGGCATCTCTTTGTGGTGATACTGATGTTCCAGAATCTGCAGAAGCACAGCTGCACACTCAAAGCCAGGAAGCTTGCATGCTTTTTGTTCATCATGGGTCTCTTCTCTCACATTTTAGAAATGTCTGGTAACTAACAATCTGTTGTCTGTATCTATAAGTTTTTTGTTTTGTTTTGTTTTGCTTGTTCATTTGTTTTTCTTTCTTAATATTCCACATGAGTGAAATTATACAATGTTTGTCTTTCTCTGATTTATTTCCTTAGCATAATATCCTCAAGGTACATCTGCATTGTCACAAATGGCAGTATTTCATAGTATTACATTATCTATATCTATATCTATATCTATATCTATCTATCTATCTATCTATCTATATGTATATATATATATATATAACACATCTTTATCTATTCATCTGTCAATGAACACTTAGGTTGTTTCCATATCTTGGCTATTGTAAATAATGCTGCAATGAACAAAGACGTGCATGTATCTTTTTGAATTAGTGTTTTCATATTCTTTGGATAAATACAGATATCAAATCATAATGTCTTACATCTGAAATTTATATAATACTACAAACCAGTGTTACCTCAATAAAAAAAAAAAAAACATTTGAGGAAAAAAAATAGACTGACATCTTTGACTATAAAAATATGTCTGAATAGCACTTCCCAGTTTTTTGTATAGAATTTGGAAATGTGTCTTTCAATCAACAGTTCTGTGGATGACTTTCAGCATGCAAAAGTTTCTATATGCTGGAAGTCGGGCTTATCATTTTGCAAGAGAAAAAGCCAGTGAAAATAAACATTACAGTAGGGGTAACTGCAGGTTAGTTGGAAACACCTTTCCAGTCATCTAGCCTTTCTTTCTCTCCCCTGAAGCTAGGTAGGAGATTGAGTGACAAAACCTTAGATTACAAGGAATTCATGTGTGACAGGTTGTGGAAACCATGCAGCTGAAAATCAAAATTCAAATGCATTTAAATTCCTGTTTATTAAGAAAGAAGCATATTTCTTTTCCTGGCTGCTTCGTAGATAGTTAAAATCGCAGGACCAAGAGGAATTGGGTTTGTATATCTAATTTCAAAACCTTTACATCCTCCCTAACTTTCCTCTGTCTTGGGTCTTTTTGGACCAAGAAGTGCCATATTATTACTATCTCTAGGAATTGATAGATATTACTCTCATTGTCCACTTCATGTCCACTCTGCTAAGAAGTGGTCAGAAAGAGAGTACCTTTTATTAATAATAGAAGTCAATGAAAGAAAACTCACAACAAAGCAAACACTGAGTCTTTCTTCTATATCTCTGGGAGTCCAAAGTGACCTCTTGTTTGACAGGTCTACTCTGTCATTTATTCTTGAGTTTTAAAATGTAAGATATTATCTCTATCAGACAGATATAGAGGAAAAATCATTCTATTGCATGATAAAGATAAGTCATACTATATGAGTCCCTCACTGTAAATCTTTCATCAATCTAAAAAAATTCATAATCCATTGTTCAAACTATTTTTAGAGAAAAAGCAGATTCAAACATTTACATTTTGTCCCAGCCTTTACCTGTTCAAAGGAGACCAACACATAGGAAGCAAAAGATGATGTAACTCACCTGGAGTTGGCTATAAATGCAATAAAGTGATAGAAAAATAATCAACAAGTATTTATTGAGCATCTACCATGTTCTCAACTGTGTAAATAGTGCAGAAGACAGGGCCCTATCTTTGGTTTGATTATGATCCATTCGAGGAAGCAAGCCATTGTATGAAACAACAGGGCTGATGCATTATGAAATATAATGATATGGTAAACCATGGAGCAGAGACACTATAGAAGTTTAGAAGAGAGAAACTTCTCTGATGGGTAGAATAGTAGGGGTAATAAGGCTTAAGCTGGAAGGAGGGGGAAACTGTGAGCAAGAAGACGAAAATGATATGGCACAAGCACAGAGGTTTCACAGCACACAAGCCAGTGAAAACAGTCAAACTGAACCAGGAGAGGAACGAATCAGAACTGAGAGAGCTGGGTGGGGAAGAGTACCTGGGAGGCTGTGAAAGCTTGGCAGTGTTTAGATTCAAACTGTAGCCTACAGAGGAGAATCAATGAAGGTTTTTACAAGGAAAGTGATATGATGAGAGCAGTGTTTCATGAGGACTAGCCAAGCAGCCACATTTGGGAGAGGCTGGAGGGGAAAGAATGTGGAGACAGGGAATACAAGCAGGAAAACTGTTGTGGCAAACGAAGAGCAGGTCTTAGGAGCTGAGCTATGGATGTGGTAGAGGAAATGAGAAGGGACAGCTGTGACAGACATTGCTAAGAGAAATTGACCACACTTGGTGGCTTACTTCATATGGGGGGGGGGCAGGGCGGTGGTTATGTCAAGAAGGACTCCAATAATTGTGGTCTGATGGTCTTCAAGTGGGTCATTGGTAGAACTGTGGAGAAATACAAAAATCGGAGCTGTATCTCTGTATACTGAGGGAAGGAAGGATGAATCACTCAGATGTGTTAAGGTGGGGGTGAGGCAACACATCTCAGAAAAGTAGGAGGCAAGGTCAATTTCAAGGGGAGACTGGCAAGGGGAGAAAGGAGGGCAAGAGAAAGAAGAAGGGAGAGAAGGAAAGGGAGGGGGAGGGGAGGGGGAAATACAAAAATCGGAGCTGTATCTCTGTATACTGAGGGAAGGAAGGATGAATCACTCAGATGTGTTAAGGTGGGGGTGAGGCAACACATCTCAGAAAAGTAGGAGGCAAGGTCAATTTCAAGGGGAGACTGGCAAGGGGAGAAAGGAGGGCAAGAGAAAGAAGAAGGGAGAGAAGGAAAGGGAGGGGGAGGGGAGGGGGAGGGAGAGAGAGCGCGGGAGGGGGGACTTTGGAATAGCTATCAGGAGGATGAGGATTAATGCAATTGATGAAAAGAAAGTGAACTGGGCCAATTATACATAGTTCTTTGACTTCTTCCAGCCATACTTTGCCTTCCCAAGTTTGGACAGAGGCGCTAGAGTGGGCGAGTGGCACTGGCTGAAGTGGAAGCATAAGGAGAATCTGGAGAGGATGAATGGGACCCAGGAGAGCATAAAGTAGTCCTCAGGGCATGGAAGTGTGGAAGAGGAAAGAGGGCAAATTCTTGTCATTAGAGATTGGAGCATGCTAAAGTGCAAAGGGAGGTGGTGACCCTTTCATGGTGATGGAGGAGACAGGCAAGGAAGGGAGGCCACTCAGGTGCAGCTGTGTTCCAGAGGAGGTGTCTGTGGACCGTGGGTATTTCCCTAACATTGACTCACTTTGCCTTCATTCCAGGACACTAAGGAAAGCCCTGCCTCCCACCCTCCAGCTCTAGCTAACAGAGGCCTCCCGGGACAGAAGTCCAGAAGTTGGTGGGGGGGAGCAGATTTTGCTCATTGGAACTTGATTTGATGCACTGTTGGGTCAAAAGCTCCTGATTTGCTTCAGAGATGGTTTTCTATCATTTAAATACCATAAACACTAACAGCAAAATAGCCCACTGGCTGGCCCCTGCTCTCCACACCTGCCAGGCCCAGTATCTGCAGCACCACTTGGAGAGAACAACAAAGACCCATCAGCCCATGTGGGTGGTGGTTGGGTGTCTTCCAAGCCTGAAGGAAAGATGGGATGTTAGGGAGCAGAGAGGTGAGCAAGATAATAGAGGTCCATTTGGCTACTAGAGAGACCACAGCCAAATGTCTTGCTGGGAAGGAGGAGTAAAACCAGGTCACCCCCCTTTGGGTTTGGTCTACAAAGAGACACAAGCAAAGGCAAGCACATATACACATACATGCACAGAGAGCTACACAGAGCAGAGGTGCAAACATACAACTAACATTTTAACAGACATTTATTTAGGTAACAAACTTAGACACTTGGAAAGGCACACCTGGACCTGCTCATCACATGCATCTCCATGCGTCTGCACACAGTTTTTTCCTCTCCGAGGGTCCTCTTTCCATGGAGTACCCTGGTATGAATAGAGACAGCCCCCTCTCTTCCAGGCCTCACCCCTTCCCCTTTGTGTTTTTCCAGGTCGTGACATGGCGAGCACCACTCTGCCTGGTTACCCCCCTCACGTGCCCCCCACTGGCCAGGGAAGCTATCCCACCTCCACCCTGGCAGGAATGGTGCCTGGTAGGTGACAATGCGGCAGCTGCCTAATTTAGGTGGGGATAACTAAATTGTGGGTGAGCTGCTGAGTGGTCTATAGTCTGAGGCTAGGGGTGGGAGGAGACCCAATATTCTCTCCCCTCAAACCACTGCTATTCTATTCTCTCCCTAGAGGCTGCATTTGGTCCCTCATCCTCCTTCATAAGAAATCGAGGGAGGGAGCTTTCAGAAGTGCCCCTTGTGTGCGCCTCACTGTACATCATGGCCCCTCCACCCACCCAAGCCTGTGCCCAGGGAGCACTCAGCCTCAGCTCCGCCCTCAGTGCCCCGGCCCACCCCCAGCCAGCTGACACTGCTTGGGAGAGCCTGCCCTGGTTTCCATGGAAACTTGGAGCCAAGAACCATTTCCAGGGGCATGTCAGTCACTCAGACAAAGCCTGGTCCACACCAACCCACAGGGAAGACTAGTGTTGAGAACCCACCCACCCCAGAGAGAGGAGAGAGCTAGTCCCTAAGGAAAGAGGAACAGAGGACAGATTATGGAAGGAACCAGAGAGGCTACCTTCAGAGAGACAAACTAGAGTACCCCCACATCTCCTCAGAGGAACCTGACCCTCTCCTTGCTCCTCAGAGCTGGGACCCAGGCCCTGTCTGAGGGCAGCTGGATTGGGCTGTGTAAATCAGAGGAAGAGACCACATTTAGGCTATGGTGATGGCAGCTGGAGCTTGTGCTCTTCCCAACCCCTCACCCCAGATTGGGAGCCAGGCTTGAAGCCAAAGAAAGTTAAAGCTCCTATTTGCATAAACACCAAAAAAAAAAAAAAACCTCTTGCCTTAAAGAGAATGAGACTCACTGGGCCTGCACCCACTCCTGCTGGCTGCATTTTTGTGTGCCTCTACCCTAAAGCTCAACTCTCAAGGCAGGGGGTGGATAGAAGAGGGCGACTGGCCCCAATCCTGGACTGTCCATCCAGGGACAGCGCTGGGCAGGCAGAGGTAGGGGGCATGGCAAAGAGGGCACTGCTGCAGAGTGTGGCAGAAAAAGGGCTGAAGAGAGTGAGATGTGGGGTAGAGAGAGTGGAAATGTTTGGGGGCAAGGAGATTCTTCCAGGAAAATCCGGGCAGTGAGCAGGTGGGGACTGAAGAAGGTCTTAGAGCAGTGGGGGTGAGGGAGGAAGAGTCTGCAAGGAGGTGGGGATGAGGGGAGCCGCAGAGAGCTCATGGTGGCAAGGGGGGAGTCGTTAAACAGAATCTAGTGCTGATGAGGAAATTACACTTGTTTCATTAGCGATGGGGAAGGAGATAGCTCAGTTCCTCTTGGTCACAGTTGAGCTCAGAAGCTCATTATCCTGCTGCACGCATGCTTTCCCTCCTCGTCAATAAACAGGCTTTCCAGTGGCTGCATCCCCACCCCCACCCCAGCTCCCTCTCAGAGAGGGGCCCCTTCTCCTCTACTTAACCCGCGGTTAGGGATCACTGTAAACAGTCTAGGGTCATCACACAGGAGAAAGGGCGAGGGGGAAACCCGGAGGCCTGGCCTTTCTCCCGCGTAGGAAGTGAAGCAGCTTCCGACGGTTCCCAGCCCAGGTGAGCCCTCGGCTCACCGCAAGCGGACCAGTGGGCAGTCCACCTGCTCCCCGTTGTCTCCTTCCATTGCTGTGTGGCCCACGTATTGTTTTTTTTTCCCCTGCCCCCACCCCTTGCTTTGGCACCGTGCTGAGATGCTATTCTTAGGACTTTCTGGGACAAAGTTTCCTGAGGGCTTTTCTTCCTCCACCCTCTCCCTCTTCCACTCCGTGGGGCTATAGCTCCCAGAACCAGAGCCTCCACTAAAAAGGCCCCCAGTGCAGCGGGGTAGGGTGCCTAGACCTGAAATAAACCCTTCCTGGTGGCCCAGGGCGTCTCCGCGGGGGCACGGCCGCTCAGGCCCTCCACACCCGTGTGTGAGGCGCGTTGGTGCTTCTGCAGCCCCCACACACCCATGGGTTCTCCCCACGCGGAATCTGGATTACTGCCCGCACGCTCACAGCCAGCATTGTGCTGCCCGCCGCACCTGCACCTCCGACCCGAGGGAGGCCACCGGCCTGGCGCGTTGGGTCCGCCCCGGCGTGGGTCGTATCTGATCCCCACTCCCCAACCCTCTCGCAGGGAGTGAGTTCTCCGGTAACCCGTACAGCCACCCCCAGTACACGGCCTACAACGAGGCTTGGAGATTCAGCAACCCCGCCTTACTAAGTGAGTACGCCACCTGGCTGGCCGGCGGCTCAGCGCGTCCGCCTGCTGGCCGGCTCAGCCGGGCTGCTCCTGGACGCGTCCGACTCCCAGCCACCCGACCTCAGGGTGCTGGCCGGGCAGGCCCGTTAGTGCAGCCCTGAGCGCGGGATCCCTTGAGGACGCCCGCGCCTCTGGCTCTTCCCTCCCCTCCCCTCCCTCCACGCTCGCAGGATGGCCCTGCGCCGCCCCCACCCTCGACCCCACTGGAAGTTCCCCAGTCGAGCGGCGGGGATCGCAGATCGGGTCCTTCTCCCACCTGGTGAACGGCAGCGCTCCTAGAGACAATCTCCCTCGCAGCCCAACCAAGGTCCCCCTGCCCGGGTCCCGCCAGACCCCAGCCCCAGAAAGTCTTTCCTTTGCTTTTCTTTCCTTTTTTTGTCCTGTTTGTCCTCTCACCCAGCCCATTCTTCTCCTGTGTTAACTTCCAGGTTCCCCTTATTATTATAGTGCCGCCCCCCGGGGCTCCGCCCCTGCCGCTGCTGCCGCTGCCTATGACCGCCACTAGTTACCGCGGGGACCACATCAAGCTTCAGGCCGACAGCTTCGGCCTCCACATCGTCCCCGTCTGACCGCCCACCCTGGAGGGAGGGAGGACCGACGCGACTCGAAGCCTCCGGGTCACAGCCCCAGCCCCACCCCCACCCCAGGACGCCTGCAGCTCTTCACGTCACCCCGTCGAAGGCCGGACTCTACGACTGGAGCTGCGGGCAGGACCCTCAGGCCCAGGCTCACTCTCCCCAACCCCGCCCGCCACCCCTCCTCTCCTGCCTGGACTGCGTGGCGCAGTGAGGAGGGCCGGACCCAGCTCGATCCAGCTCACCCCGGCCTCGCCGAAGCCGGCCCCGGAGCGGACCAGCCACATAACGCCGAACTGTGGCCCGACCCGCCGCTGCATGCGGGGACACGTTTTTGTGACACACAATCAGCGCGGACTGCAGCGCGGCCCAGCCCTGGAGCAGCCCGCCTCGGCGCTCAGGCGCCAGGAGGACTCGCTGGAGGGTCTGGGCAAAGGAAAATAGGAACGAAACGATTTTCTGCAGAAGGAAGAAGAGCCTCCTGCCTAACCCTCGGGGAAAGTCCTTATTCCTGAGCCAGCCGGACTGCCCCTACCTTCCGAGTGTGCCCTGCCCCAGAAGGTGGAATGGAATGGGGGCGTGGGGGCTGGGGTCTAGAAACAAAAAGGTGGGGTTGTCAGGTCTTTCCAAGATTGGGACCGAGGCACGCAGGCCCCAGCAGCCTGCACCCACCGAGCCCCGACTCTTGGCTCTTCCCTCCCTACTCCACCTGAACTGCCCAGGCGCCTCTTACTAGTGACCAGACTCTCAGCCCCACCTTGCCCCTACCTCAGCGTCTCAGCCATCTGCTGACCTCCCAGTCTCCCCTTACTTCCGTCCTTTTCCCATCGCTCTGCATCTCTCCTCCCTAACTCGCCGCCCCATCAGAAACTCAGGACCAGTTTCCATAAGCCATGGGCACTGGTCTTCCCCATCAGTTACTTGATGTCCCTCCCTGGACACAGACTCTCTTGGTCTGCCCATGGTAGGAGCGGGTTCTGAGTTGGTGTCTGAGCTACGGCGGGGTAGAAGTAGGGGGCCGCCCACTCCACCCCAGCCTCTTCCTCCCGCAGGAACTGAACAGAACCACAAAAAGTCTACATTTATTTAATATGATGGTCTTTGCAAAAAGAAAAAAAAAACCCAACAGGCTGCTGCTTTGTAGAAAGACGGTGTGTGTCGTGTGAAGGCGAACCCCTGTGTATATAATCCCGCCCGGTCCGCCCCGCCCCGCCCCGGTAGAGTCCCAGCTGCCCACCCGCCCTGCCTGTAGATACGCCCCGCTGTCTGTGCTGTGAGAGTCACCGCTCGCTAGGGGGGAGGGGGGAACACAGCTACACGCCCTCAAAAGCACAGCACGTCCTGGGGGGAGGGGGGCATTTTTTATGTTACTAAAAAAATTACGAAAGAAAACTCTATGCAAAATGACGAACATGGTCCTGTGGACTCCTCTCGCCTCTGTTTCGTTGGCTGTTTCTCTGTAATTCTGTGTTTTCGCTCTCTCCTTCGTGTCTCCTGCACACCTCTCCCTTCTCTCCATCTCTCTCCCTCTCTGTCTGTCTGTCTGTCTCTCTGTCTTGGTCTCTTTGTCTCTGCTCCTCCCTCGGCCTCTCTTCCCAGCCCTGCCCCGGCAGCCTTGCCCTCGTAGGCTAGATCAGAGGTGGCAGCTTGTCCCCTCGCGGCCGTGACCCACTAGCCCTGAGCCGCCGGCAGCCGGGCCGCCCCGCCCCGTAGTTGCTCTTTGTAGCGGCAATGCGCCCTGCATGTCTCCTCACCCGTGGATCGTGACGACTCGAAATAACAGAAACAAAGTCAATAAAAGTGAAAATACATAAATAAATAAAAATCCTTAAACAAATGCGAAAAAGGCTTGGAATCCTCACCCAGATGTCTCTCCCCTTCAAGCCTTTTTATTTGAAAAGGAAAGCAAGAAAAGAGAATAGTTTAAGGGAATTTCCGGCGCCCAGCCAGTCTCCAGTGCCCGGAGCCCGGTGGCGGGGCGCCGAGGTTTGAACTTCGAGGCCCTGCCCATTCCAGTCCTTGCGGGGCTGGCCCTTCAGGGGTCCAGAGCCAGGACCCAGGGAACCCTCGAGAGAGCCCCTTGCCAGCTCTGGTCTCCTCGGCTACTCTCAGTACGTCGGTTCGTTTTGATTCTTTT